TCGTCCAATGTCCCTTACTTAACTGTGATTGGTAGAATGAAACGTGTCGATTACAGCCAATAGGAGAACAGAGCAATCAGTCAGCACAACACCCAACCTTTGCTGTTGGATCTTTATTCTCGTTTCACTATTTAAATTCTGGGAATGTGGCGTTAAATAAATACACGCCCATCGCATTTTCAGTATTATACTTAACCTGAACAATGAAGCGAATAATATCCAACAGCAAAACATAAGTTGGGGTGTTGTGCTAAAATTAGTGCTCTGTTTTCCTGTCTTTCAGGGCGCCGCCTCCCCGAGCACCTGTGGCAGGCCAGCAGCCTTGGCAGGGGTCCCTGTGAACAGTGGCGTCCCATAAGGGCCTGGGGGGAACCTGCCGTCTCTGGGAGGCCCCTAAACGCCATCGCTGGCATGGCCTCCTGGGAGCCTGCTGGGAGTACCACGCGGTCGCCAAGACGTGCAGCAGGCGCCCCAGGCCTGGAAAAGCCCTGGGGTCACGCTGTCCCTGTGAGGGCCTCTCTGATCGTCAGCGCCCCTAGCAGGGGCCCATGGGGGCACCTGCGCCGTTTCTGTGTGAGGTCCCTAGGAGCGTTGCCGTCCCTGAGAGGCCCCATGGGAAGCTCAGCTGTTGCCCTGGAGGGCCTAGAACGCCACCTTCCCTGTGGCCCCTAGGTTTGCCGTTGTCCCTAGAGAGCCCCTGGTGGATCCAGCGCCTCTGACAGGTCCTTTGGGGCACCTTTGACCTGAGAGGGCCAGGGGCGCCTCAGTGCCTGGCATGGCCAGAAGTGTCTCTAGGGATGGGGTTCAGTCCCAGGGTGCCTTACAGGGGACGAAAGCACCTTCAGGGGGGTTCCCCAGGGACGTCGACGTCCCCAGGGGCTCTACCACAGCGGTGACACCTTGAGGGGCCCTTCCCCAGTTGTGTCTCCTCAGAATTTTGCCTCTTTGGAGCGCCACTGCCCACAATTACCCTGCCAAGGGGCTGCATGCTATAGGCCTCAAGGCCCAGCTTCCAGGCTACTATGGGCCTCCTAGTCGCAGAAGGGTGCCTTTCCAGGGGCAGTGGGGTCTCTGCCAGGAGCAACAGCATGAGGGAGGGCCTTCCATGTATCTTGGCATTGCCCCAAGCTTCATTGTTTAGTCATTGCATTTTGCATTCGTCCAGTAATCCCTTACTTAACTGTGATTGGTAGAATAAGAAACGTCATCAAATTACAGCCAATAGGAAACAGAGCAATCAGTCAACTGGCCACCCCAACCTTAACTTTGCTGTTGCGGATATTTATTCTCTGACGACTATTTAAATTCTGGGAGATATGACGTTAAATATATACGTATAGCATTTTCATTAATATCGCAACCTGAACAATGAAACGGAGAAAAAATATCCAACAACCAAAACATAAGTTGAGATTGTTGTGCTAATTAGTGCTCTGTTTTCCTATTGGCTGTAATTTGATGACGTTTCCTCTTATTCCACCAATCACAGTTAGAAATGTAAAAAGATTACTGGAAGAATGCAATGTCGACAATACTATCTCCATTGTTTTTAGGCGCCTGCCTCCCTAGGAGTACCTATTGTGAGCCAGGCCTTGAGACCCTGTGAACAGTGGCGTCCCATAAAGACTGGGGGGCCTGTCTTCACAGGAAGGCCCTGTTACGCCATGCAGCTGGCACGGCACCTCTGGGAAGGGAGCCTCTGGGAGTGCAGATCACCCAGGCACGTGTGGGCGCCCCAGGCACAAACTTCAGGGGTCCACGCTGTCCCTGTGAGGCCCTCTGATCGTCAGCGCCCTAGCAGGGCCATAGAGGCGCCCGCCACCCCGTTTCCTGGGGGTCCCCTAGGGCGTTGCCGTCCCCTGAGAGGCCCATGTGGAAACTCAGCTGTTACTGGAGGAGGCCCTAAGAGCCTTGCACTTTGACCCCTGGGTTGCCTGTCCTAAGAGAGCCCCCTGGTGCATCCGCGCCCCTGGTGGATCCAGGCGCCTCTGACAGGTCCTTTGGGCACGCCCCGGCCCCTGAGAGGCCGGGGGCACCTCGGCCCCGCCTGGCATGACCAAGTGCTCCTCACAGGGATAACCCAGGTCAGGGTCCCTTACAGGGGCGGAGGCGCCTTCAGGGGTGTTCCCCAGGGGACGTCGGCCAGAGGCTCCACAAGCGACAACCTTGAGGGGCCCTTCCCAGGTTGTGTCTCCCTCGGGGTACCTCTTTGGGGCGCCACCCGCAATTACCCTGCCAAGGGGCTGCAGCGCCCCTATGGGCCCTCCCTAGGCCCGGCTGGGCTGCTATGGAGCCCTCCTGGTCGCAGAAGAGGTGCCTTTCTAGGGGCAGTAGGGTCTCTGCACCGAGGCGACAGCACCCAAAGACCTTCCACGACATTGCCCCCAAAAACTGTTTAGTTTGATCGTGCATTTTTGCATTAGGTCAGTAATCGCCTTAACTGTGATTGGTGGGGTAAGAGGAAACGTCATCGGAAATTACAGCCAATAGGAAACGAGCGTCAGTCCGGCACAAGCACCCCAACTTATGCGCTGTTGGATGTCTTTATTCTCGTTTCACTATTTAAATTCTGGGAGAGATGACGTTAAATAAATACGCCCATCGCATTTTCAATATGCTCTGCCTTCGAACAAAAATAGAAACGGAAAAAATATCCAACAGCAAAACATAAGTTGAGATTGTTGTGCTAATTAGTGCTCTGTTTTTTCCTATTGGCTTAGCAATTTGATGACGTTACCTCTTATTCCACCAATCACACAGTTAAGTAAGAGATTACTGGAAGAATGCAACATATGCGACACCACTATCCATTGTTTTGGGGCGCCGCCTCCCTAGGAGGACCATTTGTGAGCCTGAGCCTTGGCAGGAATCCCTGGAACGTGGCGCCCGATAGAAAAAGAGACCTGGAGAGGCCACCGCCTCTAGAAAGGGCGGAGTCTCCGGCAGCGGTCGTCTGGAGACTCTGAACCTTTCCACGGACCCTAGGAAAAGTACCTGGAGGCGCCCCCGTCCCTGGAAAAACACCTGGGGTCACCGCTGTCCCTGTGAGGGCCCATCGGGTGGCCAGCGCCCCTAGCAGGACCCATGGGGGCGCCGCCGTTTCTGTGAGGGTCCCTAGGAGCGTTGCCGTCCCTGAGAGGCCCATGGAAACTCAGCTGTTTCTGGAGGAGCCCCTAAGAACGCCGTCTTCCCTGAGAAAGCCCCTAGGTTTGCGTGTCCCTAGAGGCTGGTGCATCCAGCGCCCCTGGTGGATCCAGGCGCCTCTGACAGGAGTCCTTCCCCAAGGCACCGCTGACCTGGGGGCAGGCTTATTTTCAGCATGGCCAAGTGCTCTCAGGGATATGATTGGTGGAGCAAGATGTAACGTCATCAACATACAGCCAATAGGAGAATAGAGCTATCAGTCAGCACAACACCCCAACTTATGCTTTGCTGTTGATTCCTGCTTCACTATTTAAATTTGGGAGATATGACGTTAAATAAATACACCGCCCATCGCATTTTCAGTATTATCGCAACCTGAACAATGAAACGGAGAATAAATATCCAACAGCAAAACATAAGTTGGGGTGTTGTGCTAATTGATTACTCTGTTTTCCTATTGGCTGTAATTTGATGACGTTACCTCTTATTCCACCAATCAAAGTTCATTAAGAGATTACTGGAAGACTGCAACATGGACGACACCACTATCCACTGTTTTGGGGCGCCGCCTCCCCTCGGAGGATCTATTGTGAGACACAGGCCTTGGCAGGGTCCCTGGGAACAGTGGCGCACCATAAAGAGGCCTGGTGGGAGCCACCGCCTCTGGAAGAGGCCCTGAAGGCGCCACCACCGCTGGCAGGGTCTCTGGGAGCACCACAGTCCCTTGGAACGTACCTGGAGGCGCCTCCGGCCCTGAAAAGGCGCCTGGGATCACGGCTGTCCTGTGAGGGCCCCTACGGTTGCCATCGCCCCTAGCAGGGCCAATGGGGGCGCCGCCGTGTCTGTGAGGATCCCTAGGAGCTTTGCTGTCCCTGAGAGGCCCATGGAAGGGCCATTGAAGGCCGCTAGGATTACCGTTGTCCCTAAGAGCGCCCTTGGTGGATCCAGCGCCCCTGGTGGATCCAGCGTCTGACAGGTCTCCTGGGGGCACCGTCGACCCTGAGAGGGCCCTGGTGGCATGCCGGGCATGGCCAAGTGACCCTCATAGGGATAGCGGCGATCCCAGCTTCCCTTACTGGGACGGAAGTGCCTTCAGGGGTGTTCCCAGGGACGGCGACGTCCCCAGGCGCTCTACCACAGCGGTAGCACCTTCAGGGGCCTTTCAGAGGTGTGGTTCCCTCCAGGGTATCTCTTTGGGGGCGCCACTGCCCACA